GAGTCTGATCTATGTAGTGAAACACTGTACATCCTGTAGACCCTGTCCTAAATATATCAAAAAAAAAAAAAAAAAAAAAGGAAGAAATGAAAGATGGAGGGGAGTTAGCTCAGAGGCATAAACACCTGGCACATTGCTGTAATCCCAGCACTCTGGAGGTTGAGCCAGGAGGATCTCTGTGAGTTCGAGACCAGCCTGGGGGCTACAAAAGTGAGCACAAGGCCAGCCTGAACTGCATAGTGAGACCCTCTCTCAGAAAAAAAAAATAAAAAAGATTGAGACCTGCCAAGAATTTTTGTTTACGTAGGTTATATGTTTATATTTTTCTTTTGTATTCTAAATTAAAGTTGAAGAATCAAAAATATGAAAATATGTACTTTGCTGGGCATGGTGGTGCATGCCTGCAAGCGCAGCACTTGGGAGGCTGAGGCAGGAGAATCACTGTGGGTGTGAGATCTGCCTGGGCCACAACGTGAGTGCAAGGCCAGCCTGAGCTGCAGAGTGAGACCCTGTCTCAAAGAAACCGAAAACCAAGTTGTACCTACTCATTTTAAAATAAATTCAGAGGGCTAGGGATATAGCTCAGTGCCATAAGTGCCTGCCTTAGTAAGTGCAAGTCCCCAAGTTCGATCCCCAGGACTAAGTAAATAAATAAATTTATGGGCCAGAGAGATAGCTCAGCAGTCTAAGTGCCTGCTTGGCAAGCCCAAGGATCCAGGTTCAATCTCTGGTGTTGAATGCTGTGCTGGCCCCAGCTGGACACTGGAACCAGCACTGGGGAGGCTGAGACAGGAGGATCACTATGAGTCTGAACTGCTTAGTGAGACCCTGAACCAAATACATAAAGTTAATAAAATAAATTCAGTATGTGTTAACATAAATACCAATTATTAATGAAAGATACTTTAAAATAATATACTGCAGGGGCCGGGGAGATGGCTCAGTGGAATAAGCGCTTCCCTGGCAAGCGCAAGGGCCTGAGTTCAATCCCCGGTTCTGAAAAAAAAAAAAATACTGCAAAAGTGGTATTATTTTATGTTTTTTTTTTTTTTAAATCTCTTTAATACCTGGTTTACTCAGAGATAACCATATTCTCTCTGCCATTTGCTTTTGGACAGCTCCACGTACACAGAAAAGGTAAATAATGCTTCAGTATTGTAAAAATTGCTTGTCTTTGGGGCGCTCCTGAAAGGGTTTCAGGAAGGACCCCAGAGATTCCTGGCAACACTTTCTACATCACCTGTCCTTGAAGTGAAGTCGAGAGCTCTTACCTGCCTGAGGGGAAAAGGCACAGAACTCTCTCCCTCTCTTTCTTTCTTTCAAGGTATTTGGGTGTTACAAGGTCTCACTACACATCTAGGGCTCATAGCGATGATCCTCCTGCTTTCAGCCTCCCCAGTGCTGGGATTACAGGCATGTGCCACCATGCCCAGACTGTGGGGCTGGCACAGCATGTGGTGCTGGGGATTGAACCAGGTCCCTGCTCTTGCCTAAGCAGGTGCTTTAGTCCGCTGAGCTACCTTGCTGGCCCTAGGACTGCCTTTCTTAAGTCCTGGGTCAGGTGGGTCTGCCAGAGGGAGTCCACGGGGGAAGAAATGTGGGAGCCTTTTCACTCTGGAAGCGAAGCTGAGCTCAGCCACCTGACAGCCCCGAGACCACAGCACACAGGAAAGGAAGGTGACACAAACCACGGGCCAGAACGCCAACTTCTGCTACTACTTTGACTTCTTTCTCTTCACCTTCTTTCTTCCTCCTCTTCCTACTGCATGCTTGAACCCAGGGTCTCACACATGCTAGGAAGAGCTACATGAACTATGGCCCCAGTCCTTAGAACTTCTTAAGAACTTCTGACTCATTTATTTGTAGTGCTAAATGGAGATAAAATTTATTTAATTTTTTGGTCTTTCTGACTTT